AGAAATAATTTGTTTTTCAAGACAAGGTTACTGTGTAGTCCTGGCTGTCCTGGAACGCTCTCTGTAGACCAGGCTGGCCTCGAACTCAGAGATCTACCTGTGTCTCTCTCCCAAGTGCTGGGGTTTAAGAAGAAAATCCTTTTGTTGTTTTTTTGTTTTTGAGACAGGGTTTCTTTGTGTAGACGCTGGCTGTCTTGGAACTAGATTTATAGACCAGGCTGGCCATGAACTCAGAGATCTACCTGCCAATATTCTCCCTGAGTGCTGGGACTAAAGGCATGTGCCACAACTCCCCAGCAATAAATAGGTCTTAAAAAACATAAAACTTACAGGAGGCAGAGGCAGGCAGATCTCTGCAAGTTTGAGGCCAGCTTGGTCCACAAAGAGAGTTCCAGGACAGCCAAGACTATATAGGGGAACCCTGTCTCAGAAATCCAATAAATAAGTAAATAAAACAAAAAGACAACAGCCAGGGGTTGAGTTGGTAGAGTGCTTGCCTGCTGCCATAACAAAGCAGGTGTAGTGGCGCTAGTAATCCTAGCACTCAGAAGTTCAAGGTTGGGGCCTGGAGAGATGGCTCAGCTGTTAAGAGCACTGACTGCTCTTCCAGAGGACCAGGATTCAATTCTGATTCATCCTCACTGCAGCTCACAACTGTCTGTAACTCCAAGATCTGACACACCCAGACATTCATGCAGGCAAAGGACCAATGCACATAAAAAATAGTTGTTTTTTTTTTTTTTTTTTTTTAAGTTCAGTGTTATCTTTGGCTACATGAGTTTGAGGCCAGCCTGGGCTAAATGAGACCCTGCCTCCAAAAGAAAGAAAGAAAAGAAAAAGAAACAAAAATTAAAAAGGAGGAGGACCAGCTGGCTGTGGTGGCACAGGCCTTTAAGACCCATGCTTGGGCAGCAGAAGCAGGCAGATCTCAGTGGGTTCAAACCCAGCCTGGTCTAAAAAGTGAGTTCCCTGCTGGCCAGCCAGGGCTACATAGTGAGCCCCTGTTTCAAAAAGCAAAAACAAACAAATAAAAAAAAAAGGAGGAGGACCTGAGGAAAGTGATGCATACCTTAAATCCCAGCATTTGGGAGGCGGAGTCAGGTGATCTCAGCGTTCCAGGCCATTCTGATCTCCATTGGTGACAGGCTTTTCTTGGTATACAAACACTGCATGCTCTTGGCATCGTCCAACACCTGGAGAGGCTCCCCTGCAGCCTTGGCTTCCTTCCCACAGCTTCCCACAGGGCCCTCTCAGAGATTCCCTAAATGCAATCTGTCTTTGTGTCACCCTACCCCGATTCCAGGGCTTTCCTTTGAATCCGGGAGAAGTCTCTGTGACGCCATAGTCCTTGCTGTGTGCGTTCTGTCCAAGCTGGCATCCAGCACACCATGCCAAACACAAACTGGCTCCAGCAGTTCCCTCATTCCTCAGACTACGGCTGGAGCAGCCTCTAAGTGCCTGTGTAGCAGAACCTATAACCACATCCCTCTGGGGGACCCTTGAATGCAGGCTTTCCAGAGCTCTGGTCTCAAAGGTAAGCATTTCAACTCAATTCAAATCTGCTTTGCTTGAAGGTTTTATTTGTATCTGTAGGTGTAGGACTACACAGATGTGTGGCATGAGCATGTGGCTACGTCTTAGTGAGGGTTACTATTGCCGCAACAAAACACCATGACCAAAAGCAAGCTGGAGGGTGGGATGGCTTATTTAGTTCACGCGTCCACACTGCAGCCTGTCAGTGAAGGAACTCAGGACAGGAACTCAGGGCAGGGACCTGGAGGCAGGAGCTGATGCAGAGACCATGGAGGGGTGCTGCTTACTGGCTTGCTCAGCCCGCCTCCTTAAAGAGCCCAGGCATGGCTCCACCCACAATTGGCTGGCCTTCCTCATCAATCAGTAATTAAGAAAATGCCTTACAGTCAGATCTGATGGATGCATTTTTCTCAGTTGAAGTTCCCCTTTCTCAGATAACTCCAGCTTGTGTCCAGTTGACATAATATTAGCCAGGACATGGGTTTCTGTGGAGGCCAGAGAGGGCATTAAGATCCCCTGGAGCTGGAGTTACAGACAGCTGTGCCCTTGACATGGTGTTCATGTTGGAACTGAACACTGCCACGAGTGTTCTTGCTGAGCATCTCTGCAGCCTCAGAATACCGGGACTGAAGGCACAGTCACTGCGCTCAGTCTGGAGGGACCTTTGACTGGCACACTTCTAGCTTAGCCTTGGCTGACTCCCCTGCGGTTGTTTGAATAGGTATGCCCCTTTAGAGTTACCTGTTTTATGTCCCCTGTAGAGTCACGTGTTTGAATGCTCGGTTGCCAGGGAGTGGCACTATTAGGAGGTGTGACCTTGCTGGAGTAAGTGTGTCACTGGAAGTGGGCTTTGAGGTTTCAAATGCTCAAGTCAGACCCAGTGTGGTGACTGTTCTTGGTTGTCAGCTTGACTCTGGAATGAACTATAATCCAGAAACGGAATCGACACCTGTGGAGGTTTTCCTGCTGGTTTGAAGTGGACTAGAAGCAAGTGGACCTTTGAGGTGGGAAGACACACACTTTTAATCCAGATCTTAAGGCAGCAAGACACACTAATATGGACCACGCCTTCTGCTGGAAGCCCATGTAAGGACAGTGGAAGAAGAAAGGATTTGCTCTTTGCCTGCTTGCCCTCCGCTTGCTAGCACACCTATTCCTTCACTAGCACTGGAGCCTGCCTCTTTGGGCTTCCAGAATATACAGAAGACCAGCTGACACACCCAGCCTTGTGGGCCGGAGCCAAGTACTGGATCCTTGGACTTTCAAGCCATTGTTGGATTAGCTGGACTGTAGCCTGTAATTCCAATAAATGATACACACATACACAGAGAGAGAGAGAGAGAGAGAGACAGAGACAGAGATTCATTCTAAAAGCTAGACCTCTGAACCTGTTAGCCAGCCCCCATTAACCTTTTTCCTTATAAAAGTTGCTGTGGTCATGGTGTCCCTTCACGGTAATAAACCCTAGCAAAGACAGAAGCTGGTAGCAGGGTGGGGGATTGCTGTGACACGCTGGACCAGGTTTTGTTTGGAGGAATATGAAACACTTTGGGACTTTGGACTAGAAGTGCAATTGGACATTTTAGGTTTACTGAGCCATGAAAGACATGGTGCATGACAGACAGTGGTGCCGGGTGACATGGAATATGGGGTCCAGGTCAAGAGGTTTCACAGAATATTTGTATGTGGCATAGAGACTGTTCTTGTAGTTCCTTGACAAAGAACGTAGCTACTTTTTGCCCTTGTCTGAAAAGTCTGCCTAAGGAGAAACTGAAGAGGAGATTGCAAAACAGTCTAGTGTTGACTAGGGTTGTATGGTTATTAGTGGCAGATCTATAGTGAAACGGAGGCATCTGAGCAAGGAAAATTACAAAGTGTACAGTTTGAGGAGAAAGGAGAGCTGCTGACAGGGAGTGGAACCAGCCCGGGAGAAGTGTGTTATAGTCAACAAAGCTGAAAGGAGCCGGAGATCTGAAGAGTGCTTTGACCTCAGACATGGAGATGCAGAGTTTGGAGCCTGCCTGGCTGGTTGTCAGTCTTTCCTTTGTCCAGTATTTCCTCGCTATGCTCTCTTCCCACCATTTTGGAACGGTAATGTGTATCCTGTTGGAAGCATCTGATCTGCTTTTGGATTTTATTGGGGATTATAATTAAGATATGGCTGTGAGTCTCAGAAAAGACTTTGGACTTTTTGTTTTTCTTTCTTCCTCAGAGCTGAGGCCCGAACCCAGGGCCTTACACCTGCTAGGCAAGCGCTCTACCACTGAGCTAAATCCCCAACTCCGTTTTGGTTTTCAAGCCAGAGTTTCTCTGTGTAGCCTTGGCTGTCCTGGACTCCCCCAGTAAACCAGGCTGGCACTGAGCTCACAGAGATGCACCCTGGACAGTCAACTTAGCTAACGTGGCAAGCTCTGTGTTCACAGAGAAGTCTTGTCTCAAAAAATAAGGTAGAGGGCCAGAAAGAGGGTTCAAGGAATAGAGGCCCTTACCACTAAGTCTGATGGCCTGACTTCCATTCCTAGGACCCAGGCAGGGGAAGGAGACAGCTGATTCCTGCAGGCTGTCTGCCCTCTGACTTCCACAGGCATGCTGTGGCGTGCACCTGCACACGCACACACACACGTGCACACACACGTAAAATATCACAACAGCTAGGAACGGTGGTGCACACGTAGTTTTAGCACTGGGGAGGTTGAGGCAGAAGGATCATAGTATATTCAGGGCCAGCCTGGGCCACACGAAACCCTGTTTTAGAAAAGCCAAGTATGGAGACAGGGTCTTCTGTGCTCAGGCCTGTCTCTCACTTGCCGGCCTTAACCTTCCTAGTTCCGTCACTGAGGTGACTTGGGTGTTTATGTGGGTGTACATATGTGTAGGTCAACTCATACCATGTGTATGCCTGGTGTCCTTAAAAGACAGCAAAGGGCATCTGGTCCTCTAGAGCTGGAGTTGGTGATGGCTGTGAGCTGTCGTAGTGCTGGGAATCGATCCTGGATCTTCTGGAAGGGCTTCCAGTGCTCCTCACTGAGCTGTCTCTTCAGCCACCCTCCTCCCTTCTAAAACCTGGTTCCTCCTTATGCCAAGCTGACTGTGCACACAAGCCACGGTTTTTACCACCCCAAAGAGGAAAGAGCCCTTACTTCCCCAGGCTGGGGGAAGTGTGCAGGGTCACACAGGGTGGGGTCCAGAGCTTTGAGCAGCCCAACCTTTAGCAGCAGTGAGCATGGCCTCAGGTGGGCTGGACAGCTTAACAGTAAAGACGTTTGTAGCCAAACCTGAGGACCTGAGTTCAATTTCTGGAATCCACATAGCTTTGGAAGGTGAGAACCAGCTCCTGGAAGCTGTCCTCTGTTTTCGGAAACCATAACGTGACACACACACGCACACACAGACAAATGTAAAAGAAAGTCTAAAGTAAAACATAATTAAAAGTATCATTTCAGAAATGATTTCCTTTTATTGGGGGGTTCAGCCTAGACTGAGTAGAGAGGGGTCCCTGGGATCCCTGCCAGTCAGTGTGGGTACTTTTCCCCTCAAGAAACAGAGACAAAACTGACTTGCTTATATGAAGAAGGGCTACAGTTCCTGAGTCGGGCCTAGCTGGGGGTCCTGAGACACACCACACCTGCCACACAGCCTCTTGGGCTGGATGCTTTTCCGTGGGACCAGCCAGCAACTGGAGCATCGGGTGCCATATTTCTTGTACCTGGAGGTGGGAGTGAGGGAGCAGGGTATAAGAAACCACCATTTAGAATGCAGTGGAGAACTAGAAACCACTAGGAGGAAACCATTCTCCTCAAAAGGTGGTTATTGTTCTTTCCCTAGTTCCCACACCAGCTGAGCCCAGACTAACGGCCCCACTCCCAACATCTCCAGATTGAGGACCTGATGCCACAGGCATTGCAGAGGGGGGTCCCATCTTCAGCATCTCTCCAGAGAGGAGTCCTCTGGGTCCTACAAGAAGCACAGCGCCGGGGCCCTGGAGGTCAGAGGTCAAAAGGCCAGAGGTCAAATCCAGAGGCTTGTGTGGGGCAGAGAATTTCGGGGCTGGGGTGCTCCCTGTTAAGGCTTCAGCAGCTCTGGCCCTGCCTTTGGTGTTGTCAGACAGAAGACAGGGAGAACCAGGAATGAGACAGATGGTGAATCAGGTGGTGAGTCTCTGCTGAGGAAGCTGGGGGTGGGGGGTGACTCAGTCCTGGGGGAGGGGCTCCTCTGAGCAGGTCTAAATGAGGAATTGGGATGAAGGAGGAGGCACGGAGAAAGGCAGAGAGGATGTGAAAATGGTACCCTCACGATACTCCTAGCTCACGTGTCTCTGTATCTCACCGAGGGCCTCGCTGCCTCCTGGGCTGACAAGGGCCTTGGGAGGGCTTGCAGGGAGCTTTGGTGAACAACTTCTACCAGGCAAGCTGCAAAAAGGACAAGACACGGCATCGGGGAGTCTGTAAGGCGGTCCCCCAAATGAATACTTCCCAGGTCCTCACATGCCCAGGCAAACACCGCCACTGAGCTATTTCCAGCCCTCTCTCTACCTTTTTTTAAATCAAAGACTTTTATACACTTACTTATACATACACCAAATCACAAAAGAATAAATTTAAAAGTAACGTAGCACTGTCACAGGAAAAGTGAAAATTAATCAACTCTCTCTTTACTGTTGATTTTGAGACAGGGCCTTAGTGAGTGGCCCGGCCGCCGCCAACGTGGCTGGGGAGCCGGGCCTGCAGGGCTTCTTGTTTCTCTTCCTGTTGAGGCAGGTTCTCTTAACACCAAGGATGGCCTGGAACTTGCTCAGCCTCCTGAGTGCTGGGCTGGCAGGTGTATAGAACCATACCCGGCTGGGAACAGCAGGATGTCATGGAGCCCAGGCTGGCTTGAACTCCCTATTGGCCCAGAATTTCTGGTCCTCTTGGTTCCATCTAGAAAATGCTGCGATCACAGGCATGCTTCTGTGCCCCTGCCAACTGGTTAATGCAGAGCTGGGGATGGAACCCAGGGCTCTGTGCATGCTAGGCAAGCGCTCTACCCACTGAGCCACAGCCCCAAATTAAGATTCATCACCAAGGTTAACGGGCACCCCTCAGGAGGCATCTGATGTCTCAAAGTCGTGGCTTTGTACCCCACTAGGAGCAATAAAGTAATCAGTATTGTATTTAGTCAGGTTTGTTATTCTGTAATTCTAGTCTCAAGAGGGTTACAGGATGGTGAAATTCTAGACCAGCACAGTCTACATGAGACCTTGTCTCAACAAAACAAAACAATATAATTAAAGAAAAATAAGTTGGCTATAGTGATTCATACACATAATCCCAGCACTAGGGAGGTTTGTGTGTGTGTGTGTGTGTGTGTGTGTGTGTGTGTGTGTGTGTATGAGGCAGAATTAGAAGTTCAAGGCCAGCCTGGGCTACATGAAATCCTGTTTGAAAAAAAACAATAACATTAATAGAATCCCAATCAGGGCCTTTGAAGTTGCTCACTGGGTGAAGTTTGCTGCCAAGCCTGATCACCTCAGCATAATCCTTGGAATGCACACGATAGAAGGAGGGGACCAGCTCCTGCAAGTTTGTTGTCTGGCCTACCTGCACACACCACATATATACTCCCTAAATAAATAACTGTAATAAAAAATTAAATGTTCGGCCAGGCGGTAGTGGCGCATGCCTGTGATCCCAGCACCCAAGAGGCAGGCAGGTCTGTGAGTTCAAGACCAGCAGGACAGCCAAGGCTATACAGAGAAACCCTGTCTCAAAAAACCAAAACAAACAAACAACAACAACAACAAAAAAAAAAAGGGCTTGCATGAGGATATGATTAGGTTCTAAGCAAACACAAACAATAAGCCTTTTAAGAAGTTGTTAGGGCTGGAGAGATGGCTCAGAGGTTAAGAGCACTGGCTGCTCTTCCAGAGGTCCTGAGTTCAATTCCCATCAACCACATGGTGGCTCACAACCATCTATAATGAGATCTGGTGCCCTCCTCTGGCCTGCAGACAGAACACTGTATATGTAATAAACAAAATCTTAAAAAAGAAGAAGTGGTTATACGGTTTATTTATGAGTATCTGCGAACCTCAGTCTGTGCCAACCTGTATGTGAGCGGAGGGCAGAGGACTTTCCCCACCTTCTAGGATGAAGTCAGGTCAGCAGGCTTGGCCGCAAGCACCTTCTCCCACAGAGCCACCTCACCCACCCGTAGCTACATGTGTTTTTTGAGACAGATGTTCAGCCCAGGCTAGCCAGCTTCAAACTCAACATTTTCCAACTCCAGGGGGCGTGGTGACACACATTTTAATCCCAGCACTTGGGAAGCAGAGGCAGGTGGATCTCTGTGAGTTTGAGCTTGGTCTACAAAGCAAGTCCAGGACAGCCAGGGCTACACAGAGAAATCCTGTCCAGAAAACAAAAACAAAAACAAAACAACAAAACAAACAAATCCCCCAACTTCATCGTCCTCAGTGTTGGGATTCAAGCTTTTAAGCTTTGGGTGTATTTTTGTTTATAAATATTTTTTGTTTGTTTGTTTCTTTGTTGTTTTTGTTTTTTGAGACAAGGTTTCTCTGACTAGCTTTGGGTGTCCTGGCCTCACTTTGTAGACCTGCCTGTCTCTGCCTCCCTGAGTGCTGAGACTATAGGTATGCGCCACCACACCTGGCTAGTATGTTTTTTCTTCTTTTCTTTTCTTTCTTCAGAGTTTTTCTTCAGAGAAGGCAGTTCTGTAAACTCTCTTTGTAGACCAGGATGATCTCCAACTCAGAGATCTGCCTGTCTCTGCCTCCTCAGTGCTGGGACTGAAGGTTATTTTAAAAAGTACTTGTGGCCGGGCAGAGGTGACACACACCTGTCATTCCAACAACTGGGAGCAGATGCAAGTGGATCTCTGTGAGTTCGAGGCCAGCCTGGTCTACAGAGGGAGTTCCTGGACAGCCAGGGCTACACAGAGAAACCCTGTCTCAAAAAAAAAAAAAAAAAATTACTTGTGTTTATTTGTGTGATGTTTGATTTTGTGTTTATGTGCACTGAATGTGTGCAGGAGCTGGGGAGGCAAGGTTCACTAGGGCGGGAGCTGCTTGTGCACTGTAACTTGCGTACCATAAACGGGGTGCTCAGAATGGACCACGCTGCACTATCTCTACAGGAGAAGCACTTTTTAAAAAAAGAAAAAAATATTTTTGTTTTTTTATACATTGGTGTTTCGCCTGCGTGTATGTGTGTATAAGAGTGTCAGAGCCTTAGAACTGGCAGTTGTGAGCTACCAACCAAATGGGTGCTGGGAATTGAACCTTGGTCCTCTAGGAAGAGCAGCCAGCCCTCTTAACCACTGAGCCACCTCTCCACCCCGAAAAGTGCACACTCTTAATTGCTGAGCCAGGTGGATTTTAATTTTTTTCTGAGCCAGGGTCTAGCCATGTAGCCAGGCTGGCTTTGAATGTGTGTCGGCTCTTTCCTTACACCCAGCTCTCAGCCTTTTTCACTGTCTTGAGACAAGGGTCTCAGTTACACAAGCTGGCCTTGAACTCACTCTGCAGCTCAAGTCCTTCCTTGGTCTCCCAAAATAGCTCGAAGGACAGGGTTCTACTACCAGGCCTACAGTACTACAGTTGTACTGTTCTTATACTCCAGCATCTATCATAGCTGAGAGTCCCTACCTGTAGGTGGGCACAATCTGGAGGCTAGAATCCGGCTGGATCTGGAACTCCAGGGTCACCCCCCTGAACCTGGGGTCCACCTTCTCAATGCCCATTCGGGGGTTCAGCTGCTTCCGTGATCTTCTCTGGGGTGAGGCCGGGGGAACAGCACTGGAAGTTTCCGTTTTGGGGTACTGTGTGCTCTTGGGGTTCCTGGCCATACTTAGTGGGTCTGACATCCCAATTACCATCAGCTCCCAGCACGGCCCCGGGGCCTGGGGGGGTGGAGAAGGGGACCCTGGTGGCTCCTTCTCTTTCTCTTGGAGGAAAGGCAGTGCCGTGCTGACTGAGTCCTGGCACGCGGACCACAGGGACCTGGGGATAAGAAGCAGTAAGGCGTGGCCACCCTTTCTGGTGGCTTGGATTTGGTCGGGGTGGGGGTGGGTGGGGCGCCATCCAGTCTGTGCCTCTCCTTGGTGATCCTCTGCTCCACCTGGAGCCAGAGTCTTGGGTTATTAGGTTTAAAAGTTGCAAAGTAATTTTGTTAGCGGACACCGTTTCCCCCGATCTCCCCTCCCCGGCCCCGTGGCTGACCATCAGCTCCCCATCAGCCACTCCCCACCATTAACAAAGCAGGGACCCACCCTAGGCGTGAATCTGCCCGATTCACTCTGCTGTCTATAGCAACCATTGGTCAATCGGCCCATCCACTACTGTTTGTTAGTAGGTGACCCTCATCACCCCACGGATGAGCCCTCGGTGGCACTTCCTAGGGCTATACAGCCACAGTAGGGCGGGTGGGATGGAGATCAGCTGTGCCCTTCTGTTTGTAGGGGCTGAAACTTGGTACGTGCCCGTAACAGGCTCAGAAGCCGGGGATCGTGACCCCTCCATCTCTGGGCCTGGTGAGGCATTAGCTGGGGTGGGTGGTGGAGGAGTCTCATCCCACGCACCTGCCATTGGGAGTGAGGCATCTCAGGGCTCCAGGCTCCAGCGCGGGGGGTCGACTCTTCCGGAGCGATTCGGTGTCTAGACAAGGTGGCGCCAGAAGTTCCTGCGGGCGCGTCAACTCACGGGCTGGAGCTGCCTCCATGCCCACTCTGGGCCCCACAGCGGAACCTCTCTGCCCCGCCCCCAGCCCCCCCCCCCAGGGGTAAACCCGAGGGTGAGGAAGGCGAGGGTGATGACGATAGGCGCCACCTGGGCGGAGCTGGCCGGCGCAGGTCACGTGGGGGCGCTGTTTGCACCTGGGCGTACTTTTTGCAGTGGCTGCCAGGAGCCTCAGCTGTGTGGCTCGAGAAGCTGTGTGATCAGGAAAGTACCCCTGGGTAGCCCCTCTTTGCCACACATCTTCTGATCACTTAGCTCGCCGCTGTTGATCCCTTCTCTGCGGCCGAGGCGGGGCCTGGCCACACAGGGGGCGTCCCCAGGAAGAAGGGCATCCCAGGCGCTGTCACGGGGTTGGGGGGGGCGGCGGCGGGTGAAGGCACATCTAGAACCCCAGCACTCGGAGCTGGGTAGACGGAGTCCCCAAGGACGGAACATGCCGCAGATGTGTGTGAGTTTTTATTGCAGCTCTGGGTTAAGTCCATCCTTAATTTACAGTTCGATTCTCCCTGGTGGATTGACACACCCAAGATGGAGACCCATCCCATCCCCCTCAGGGCCCGGACACTGGTTTGTTCCCAGTGGCAGCTCTTGTCTCACACTGTGCTTCCAACTTCTCGTTTCCGACCAGTCCGTGCTCTGGGGCCGGGAGGGATGGCTTTTCTTTTCGGTTCCATGGCCCTGCGCAGTCCAGCGGCCTCATGTCAGTGGGGCTTGGGGATGTGGCCATCCACGTAGAAATTCCTGGTGATCTTGGGAAGCGCAAACTCAGCCCCCTCCAGCTCAGGGGTCAGCACGATCTGGCAGCCCAGTCTCGAGTTCTCCTGGAGCAGGGGGGCCATGTCCAACATGTCGTCCTCCCTGGGCGGAGGACAGCCAGCGGTCAGGGCTCGTGGGGCCTGAGGCGGCTAGAGGGAGGTGGAAGGGCCCTGGGCACAGGAGACAGGGGCCTGCAGTGGAGCTGGGGCTGCCCACTCACCTCTCCTCAGGAGGAGGCAGGAGATCCAGGTGAGCCTCACTCACGTACACGTGGCAGGTGGAACACGCCAGGGACGCTTCGCAGGCCCCTGGGACAGGAAGGGAGAGGCACGGCCTGAGTGAGGAGCCGCTTCCACCTCGGCTCCATAGCCCCATCTTCCTCACGGCCAACGGCTTCTAGGCTGTCTGCAGGCTTGTTTAAGACAATCTCAGCCCAGACTAGTATTAAATTCACCATGTAGCCAAAGACCACCTTGAACTTGAACTGATTCTCCTGCCTCAACCTCCCAAGTGCTAGGAAGACAATCGTGAACCATTATATCTAGTCCCACACTGACTCTCACTACACTAACCTCACTTCCACCTCAGGCCCCGTGCACTCCTGTACTTGTGACCTAGAATGTTCTCGATTTTGCTTATTCATTCAAGATTTCAACTCCATTATTTCCCGATTGCCCCAGCTTCCTCCCCACCCCACCCCCTTTTTGGTGGCACTTAAGACATGTAACTTTTTAAAAAGGGCATTAGGGGTTGATCTAGGGTCTCGAACAAGCAGGAGTGGTCCACACTGAGTCACATCCTCAGTTCTTTACAAGCCTTTTGTTTTATTGTTGTGCATGCGTCTGTGGAGGTCACAGGGCAGCTGTGTAGAGCTGGTGCTCTCCACACCTTGACCTGGGTGCTGAGGATTGGAATCAGTGCCTCTAGTCACTGAGCCATCTCATCATCCTCCCACATTTGTAATTTGTGAGAAACTCTCAGTAAATTATCCAGGCTGGGTTTGAATCTAAAAAGCAATCGACAACTTTCCTTTCTGAAAACTCTCAACTTATTTATTGGGACAGGGTTTCTCTGTGTAGCCTTGGCTCTCCTGGATTGACTTTGTAGAATGGCTGGCCTCAAACTCAGTGATCCACCTGCCTCTGCCCCCCCCCCGCCCCAAGTGCTAGGATTACAGACATGCACCACTGCACCCAGCTTTAATTTTTTTAAAGACGGTCTCAGCATAAATTTCCGGCTGTCCTGTCCTAGAATGCATGAGTAGACCAGGATGGCTTTGAACTTAAGAGATCTGCCTCCCAGTGCTGGGACTAAGGGCATGCACCCCCATGCCCTGCTCCTGAAAGCTTTTAAAACATTTATTTATTTACACGTGTGTGAATCTGTGTGGGCATTTTCACACTACAATGTGTGGGTCAGAGAACAACTTAAGATACTGGTTTTCCTTCCTTGTCAGTTCTGGGGATGGAATTCAGGTCAGACTTGTTGGCAACTGCCCTTTAACCAATGAGCCACTGTGCCAACTCAGACTGGTCCCAAGTTGGTCTTCAACTCCTAGGCTCAGATCCTAGGCCTAGTCTTTCTGCTGCTTAGCTTCTGTAGCAGCTGGGGCCACAGGAACACCTACCATGGAGCACACCCACCCTTGCCCAGGTGAGCTATAGCTGTCTTTTTATCTTGGGGCTGGCTGTTGATCCACCCTCCTCTCTACCAAGCATTGAGTGTGTTCATCCTCACGGCAAGCTTGCTGAGAAATGCTAGATCACCCCTTTGTCAGGAAGCAGGCTCAGAGAATGGGTTTGGCGTTCACACAGTTGGTGAGGCCCCACAGACATGGCCTACCTGCTTCCAAACGCCCCAACTCCGCTCTGTACAGCGGCTGCTGGGTCAGGGAACAGACAACCCATCCACATCCCAGCATCTCTAGCGCTTTTTACTGGTTTGGGGCTTGTTTTGAGAGTCTCACTGTGTAGCCCTGCTGTCCTGGAACTTGCTATACAGACACCAGGCTGGCCTCAAACTCTCCTCCCACGTGTGTGCCACCATGCCCGGCCACCTCTGCCAGCTTTAGATTAAGTCAGGCCCCCTACTCCATTAACCTAGCACTGTCCCTTCCAACTGGTCTGTCAATGAAAACCTAACAGTTTCTTTATTCCTGGGCTGATAGTCCCCGCTGGGCTAGGTCCAGGCTAGCATGATATGCCAGAGGACCTTTAGTACACACAGTAGGTAGTATTCACCCAGGGACTCCTGCCCTTTTTTTTTTTTTTTTTTTTTTCTTTTTTTTTTTTTTTGAGACATGGACTCTTGCTAAGTCATCCAGGCTGGATAGGAATCTAAACTGAGTCTTGCTGTAAGTTCATGGTTGGCCTGGAATAAATTCATTAGGTAAAGGGGTTACCACTAAGCCCAATGACCTAAATTCAATCCCTAGGAAAACATGGAAGGAGTGAACCAGGCTCCTCAAGTTCCCCTTTGATCTCTACAGAGGCACACGCAGGCACACTACATCAGTGCAATAAAGAAAGTACTCATCAGGATTCACACCAGGGCAGCTGGAGGGCCGGCATGCCCCATGTGACTGTTGCTGCTGGGTCCCGCCCACCTGTCACACCAGGAATTACTGCCTTGTCTATTCATAAAGCTGTCCCATGAAACTGGCCCTCAACATACACCCATTTCAGACCTGCTTTCACTGAGGACCTTAAGAGGACACAGGTGACGTGAATTTGGGACATTGTGGGACAGATGTCAGAGAGCAAATGAAACATAAACTCTATGGGATCACTAAATACACAGGCAGACATGGGCGTTGGGGGGCTTAAGCTGGGGTGAAAGGATGCCAAATTGCCGGGTCTGAAGAATGAGAAGAACAAAACAATTTGCTGGGAAAGCACTTCTGACAGAGAACAGTAAGCACAATGGTCCTGGGATAGTACTGAGCTCTGTGCCTGAAGACCAGCAAGAGAGCCCAGAGGGACAGTGCTGGTACATGCCTATGATCCCAGCACTGAAGAGACAGAGCTCTCTGCCAGCTTGAGGGGCACAGAGACCCTGTCTCAATACCACCTCTCCCCAAAAGGAAGCCAGTGGCTGGACTAGAGGACGGAGAGGTCAATAGCAAGAACCCACACACTGGCAGAGAACATACACACCCTCATCCCCAGGAATAAAATGCTCAGGAAGGGCTGCTCCAAAACTAAGCTTTGATTTAGTGTCATTTTTTAAAAAAGACTTAATTTTTCAGTGTTTATGTCTGTGTGGGTTGTACATGAGAAGGCAATGCCCACGGAGGCCAGGTGAGGACAAGAGTCCCAGGAGCTATTGTTACAGAGGGTTGTGACTTGCTTGGCATAGCATGGGTAGGTAGGCAGAGGACACAGGTTTTCTGCAAGAGCCATACGAACCGAGCAACCTCTCCAGTTCCATCGTTTTCTTTTTCATAAGGGGTATTTCTGTGTGTACACGAACTGTGTGCCTGACACAGCCTGAGGTGGGGTCGGCCTCTTTCCTTCTGCTGATACGTGGACTTGAAATTAAACTCAGGTTGGCAGGCTTGTGTGGGAGCCATCTTACCAGCTTTAACTCAAAGGTGGCTAAACAGTGGAAACAACCTGTAATCACAGAGCTGAGAAAGCTGAGGCAGGAGGGTCAGCCAGTGGGTTTAAGGCTAAGTCACAGAGACTGGGTCTTAATCTTCTCAGCATTCTGGAGGTAGAGGCAGGAGGATCACTGTTGTGGGTCCGAGCCTAGCCTGGTTCCATAGCTGGTTTCAGAACAGTCTGAGTAGCATGAGCTCTTATCTCAGTTCTTCCCAATCCACCCATAAGGTGATGTGATAACCCTTCACCTTGGCCTGTGGTCTCAGGACTGAGAAAGTGGAGGCAGGAGGATCCCTGTAAGGGGTTGCAGGTAGCCTGGATTACATATTTAAATTTCCGGACAGCCTGCATCACTGAATGAGCCCTGAATACCGACTCACCCATGGGCCTCCTGACCAAAAATATCGGGTTGTGGTAGTGCAGACCTGTCACACCAGCACTCGGGTGGTGGAGGCAGGAGGGTCAGAAGTTCAAAGCCACTCTCCCCATACACAGTAAGATCGAGGCTAGCCTGAGCTATATGAGGCTTTGTCTCAAAAACACAAAAAAAGAACGAACAGTAAGGGTTTCTCCAATTCCCTATTACCTACCTTCCAGGTCCACCCCGTGGCGCTGGGCCAAGTGAAGAACATTGTCCCCGACTCTGCCTCTCACCGGGATCCGCCGACCAGAGCGGTCCACGAACACCACGTTGACCCTGGGGACAGACGGGGTGCAGGTGCTGAGCCGGGGGCCGGCCACAGGGTGGGGCAGGGCGTGGCGTGGCGGGCACTCACGCATCCCCGGGGAGCTCCGGGCCGTCCGCCTCGTCCTCGCCTGCGCGCCGCTCGCCTGTAAACACACGAGTAGGTGAGCGGCTGCGGCCTCGCTGCCCGCCCCGCGGCCCGGCCCGGCCCTAGGTACCTGTGGCCCCGAACATCCTGGACGTCGCGGCCGCATGTCTGGCCCCAGCACCCCAGGATCCCCCAGCCGCCCACAACAGGACCCGAGCGCTCACGCCGCGGGCCATGGAGGCGGCCATGATAGGCCACGTGACCGGAAGACCGAGCATGCTCAGTGCGTAGGCTACCATTGTAATCGCGTAGGGTCAGAGGTGATGTACTGGGATCCAGCCTGGACTTCCGGCCTCACCCTGTGGTTGGATTTTTCTTGAGTCTTAGTGTACGTTTTCTGCTCGAATGTATGCAAGAGCATCAAGTGGGTGCCTGCGGACACCAGAAATTTCCGTGTGGGGTCTGGGAACTGAACTCCGGGTCTCTGCAAGAGCAACAATCAGGACCAACCTCCGGGCCCTTTAATTTTGAGACAGGGTCCCAGTGTGTGGTCCAGGCTGATCTTGAATCCCAGGTGCCTTTGCTGGAATTAAGGGTTATGCGTCACCATGCTCAAGCTTAAAAAAAATTGTGGAGTGTGAGACAGGGTTTCTCTATACAGACTTAACTATTCTAGAATCTGCTATCCAGACGAGGCTGGCTTCGAACTCAGCGTGTGCCACCATGCCCAATTTAAACTTTGGAAATTGTGTGCTCTCAGAGCACATCTGTAATATATGTATGTGTAGGTCAGACAACTTGTGGGAATCAGTTCTCTCCTTCCAACATTTGGGCCCCAGGCATAAAACTCAGGTTGTCAGGTTTGGTGATGTGTCCTTACTATAATACTGGGCTATCTCGCTGGGCCCACAGTTTATCTCAAGAACCAGCCAGCTGATACTTTTTTTTTTTAAAACCGTTTACTTACAAACTTTAATTCAGCAAAGGTCTATGTGGGAGAATGGGGAGAGGGGATATCCCCCCTGGAGTGGGTTTGGATCATCAGGATTGGGGAGGGAGGCTGGTGGCTCAGCTGGCCAGGGGCAGAGTCCCTAGGTCCCCTCAGATGGGCAGAGAGGAGGCTGGCTCCAGTAATCCAGCCTGGGTGTGGTGATGATCTGGGTTTGGAGGGACACCATAGAGGTCCAATGACCTGGGTAACAATGGTCAACTTTCACAGACAGCAGGGGAGACTGTTGAAGCCAGCAGAAAATACTGGTCTCTGCACCCAGGCTTTGGGCAAAAGGGGCGGTTTGCCAAGACCAAGGCTTTGGCCTTCTATCTGCAGGGCAGACACCCTGGACAAAGGGCGATCCCTAGGCCAGAGCTCTTTGGTCCTGAGTCGAGCTTCTGGAGCTCGGCATCTGAGAGGCTCTGACCTCGTAAGACCTGCAGCCCAGCTTTAAGGCATCAGAAGGCAAGGAGACTGGGGCTGGGGTACTGGCCAGAATAGGCAGGCAGGGGCATGACAGCTATACCTGCAGCAGATGATTAGGTAGCGAATTGGGTTAATTTGTTGGAACCTGCACGTGTGGAATGGAGGCCCAGGCAGGCCAGACCCTGAAGGAATCAAAGTTGGGGCTTTTCTGGGAGTGGGTGGGTTGGGTGATGTGGTCATCATCCTGGTTGCTTTTAAAAATAAGAATTATAAAAGGAAATCAAAGTCAATTGTCGAAGTTTAAAAACGGGGACCGTCTCTGATCCTCACAGGTCAGGGACCCCTCCAAAGGCACTCGAAAGGCCAGAACACAGGAGTGATGAGGCAGGCGAGGAGGCCTGGAGAGCTGGGCACAGAAGACCAGGAGCTAGGCAGGGAAAGGGAGGAGGCCGGGCCCCTCTCTCTTAAGGCTGCAGGGTTTTGGCTCCAGGAGCAGGCCCACAGGCAATGGTGTGGCCCCCAAACACCCCCACATTCCTTGAGCTCCAGCTGGTTGGTCAGCAATGTCTTTTTCAGAGATTTCTCTATTACCCAAAGAAAGGACATAAAAAATAATAAAAATAAAATCCCACAAAAACACAAATACCAGAAAAAACCCAAAAGCAATTTTGGTGCAGGCCCTTGGAGCATCTCTGGTGCCGACTCCTTAGAAGATCCTCTTCCGCTTCAGGTAGGAGTCTGCGTAGTGGCCGCCAAGGCCCTGGGAGTGCTGGCCCACGTAGCTGCCCTCTGGGCTGGGCTCTGGCGAGGGCAGCAGGTGAGAAAAACTGCGTTTCTGGCCACCCAGTGGTGTCTGGAGACAGATGGCAGGGGAGGCCGGGTCAGGGGCCTTCCAGGGGCTAGGGCTCCCCAGCCCTGTGCTTCCCCTCCCCTTGCCCGTACCTTCAGCAGGTGGCTGTGACCATTGGGCCCAGGGCCAAGGCCTAGCAGCCCTTCACTGGAGCCCATTGGGGAGGAACCGACGGCCTGGGGAAGTCAGAGAAGTGGAAGCAAGTCACCCCTGGGGCCAGAGGATAACACTGGAGGGAATCATGAGAGTCCAATTCTAGCCTTATGCCTGCCACTCAGAGCTATGAGGCCTGATGGTAATCAACCTGTTCCTCATCTGTCGTCTGGGGATAAGTCCGCCCACACCTTATGCCAGTCTGAGATAAGGGGAAGCTAACAGTGCTACACTCCACATATGTCCAGGAACCAAAGTGGGCTACTGCCACTCTAGCATGAACAAGAGCGAGCCCAGCTCTTGTGGAGCTGGGCCGAGACGCCTTAGATGACACAGCTACAGAGACAGACAGACACAAAGGGCCCAGTGCTTGGTGGGGCGAACTCCTCACCTTGTTGAGGTGGCTCTGCTTGAGGCCAGCCTGTAGGCCACTGGTGAAGTATGAGGTGGGTGAACCGGAATAAAAATGAGACAGCGGTCCCCCACTGCCTCCACCACCCCGAGGCTCATTGAAGTTGTTAGGTGGTGGGGACATCTGCAGAGAAAGGGTCAGCTGAGTGAGGAAAACAATAGTAGGAACTCTTCCCTACCGTGCCTCTACTTGGTCATGTTTATCTTTCAGGCACAAAGCCACTTTAACAAACTCAGGTCGGACCACAAGAGAATGCATTCTGTGTGGTTCAGGGAGACACTCTCTGAGCCCATTGATTTTTCACTTCGACAGAGAACTGGCCGCCTATGTGTTGCCAAGGGGTAAGCTCCCGGTGAACCAGCTACTGCCCCACTGAAGGGTGTAAGTAGATGCTTGAGCCTAGAGCACTTTGAATTGGATTGGACAATATAGCAAGACTGCCTCGTTTGTGGAGTTCAGTGATGAAGGGATGACACTTTTTGTTCCACAGCTAGTGCTGACTGCTACAGACAGCACTATATTCTACAGAACACGCAGGGCATCTTGGCTCTTACCTTGTGTCGGCTGGGTCCATGAGGCCCTAGGGCTGGTTCCCGAGGGTGAGAGAAGAGCCGTCGAGGTCCCATATCCTAAATTAAAGGGGCAGAAGAATGGAGGTGGTGGCTGGTGTTTCCCAGCCTGGGCCAGTTCCACACTAGCACCCACACTTGGGCCTGTGGGGGCTTCAGGGGGCTGCACAGCGGAAGCCAGAGCAGATGTGCACTCTATCCAGGAGCAGGCATGCCTGGACTCCAGGGATGGGTGCTGTCAAGTAACTGCATGTTGCGCTCAAAATGGGAAGCGCTGGAACAGACAGGATGCAAAGCCCTTTCTTGAGGGAGAAAGCATGCCTTGGGATGTGGACTAAGCACCTGCCCAGCTAGCATGCATGAAGCTCTGGCTTCTATCCCTAGCACCACATAAAACCGGGTGTGATGGAGAAAGCCTCAGACGCCAGTACTCAGATGGTAGAGACAGATATGACAGAGTCATCTACATAGTGAGTTGAGGGCAGTCTGAGCTACACGAGACCTGGTTTCAAAAAACTCCAAAACCAAATAAAAAACCAGCATGGACTAAAGTCTGAAAAAGACCAAGATGGACAGCAGAGTCAAGGAAAGGAAATGCCAGCCACGAGGCCCTGACTGGCCACCTGACACCAGAGAAAAGAAAGGCCTGCTGCCTTTGAGCAAAGCGCCTGGAACCAGTGGGTTGTCCTGCATTTGGAATATCACACAAAGAGGGGTACAGTGAGAAATTCAACAGTGACTCAGGCCTAATTCACACACAGCCGAGGCATTTTATACCAGAGATATTATGCTTTTATGCCTATGTGTTCCCATGCATGCCACAGCTCTCACGAGTGACAGCACAACCTGTGGGAGCAGGTTCTCCCCCTCACTTATGGGAGCAGGAACAGAACTCAGGCCTTCCGATTGGAGGTAAGCACCTTCACCAGCTCCGAATCTCACCAGCCTACACCTTTAATCGTCTTTTGTTTTTCTGGGCCTCACGGAACCAGGGCCAGCTCTGAACTCCTGATCATCTGCCCTCTACCTCCCAGTGCTGGCGTCACCCGGCTGACAGTATTTCCTGCGCTGCCCCCTAAACCACCAAACAAAGCCTGACGTGAAATGTCCCACTGTGGAGCCAAGCAGGTTCTCCAAGTGTTTGAATTCAAGCCTGGACGAAGCTCACTGGGGGAGTACCTGTCCTATGCAAAGATGTGTGTACATGTGGGACTGTGTGTCTGTGACTATGTATGTGAGTGTGTATGGTGTGTGTGTGTGTGTGTGTGGTAGAGGCCAGAGGCCGACCTTGGCTGCTGTTCCTGTCTACCGTATTTTCTACAGCTTTGGGCCAGTATATCCATGTGTGCACACACAGATGTACTGAGGACAGAGGATGACATTAGAATCTTTCTCCAGCTTATTCAGTGAAGCAGGGTCTCTCACCAGTATCCAGAGCTTGCCAACTCCATTCGTCTAGCTAGTCAGCTCCCTCCAGGGATGCCATTTACCTGGGATTACAGGTAAATTGCCACACCCGCTCAGCTTTTATACTAGTTCTGAGAACCCAAACTCCACTTACACACTTCATATGCTAACTCATTGATTGTCCTAGCTCTGTCCACCTTTTTTGAGACAAGGCTGCACTCTGCAGTCGTGGTTTGCCTACAACTCACAGCAATCTTCCTGCCTCACTACCAAACTCAGTTGAGACATGGTCTCTTCCCTGGCCTACAGTTTCCCTACTAGACTAGAAAGCCTGTCTGCCTCCGCAGAATCAGGGTTACAAGCATTCTCTCCCTCCTGGCTTCATCATGTGGATTCTGAGAATGAGACTTAGGTCCTCACGCCTGTGACTGAGGGACCTCCCCAGATACATTTCACACTTTGGATGTTTGGACCAG